TATATCATTTTGTCCTTTACTCCATAAATTTCACCTTCCTCAATCGCTGCAGAAATCAGGGCTTCTTTAAATTTTTTAAATAGAATTATAACATAACTATCACCAACTATTCGCGCAACAATTCTATTCTCATCGTCTACTGGTCCTCAAATCAATTATTTCGATTGTACAAACTCAATAATCGTCAGTAACGATAACCTTGGTTGTAATAAATATAATTATTATTAATCATTTCAGCTTTCGACCCTGGAATCCCCAACGAGGAAGTATTGCCGAAGTTCCAGGCTCCCTGACAGGAAGAATAAAACGTTCCAAGATAATAGAGTAGATCACGTATGGAGACTGTTTGCTGTGTATAAAACGTAAACAATAAAAGGTTATAAGAATTTATGTAACTTTTCTTGGTATAAATCCACTCATTACGATTGGAAAGTGCGAATAGATGATGGTGCTGGCAGCTTTGAAATGAATCGTTTTGCTAAATGATTTTTAAAAAGCGTCTTGTCTAAGAGATAGCATATTTGTTTATTCATGTCAATGAGTACGTATAAACAATCCATAACGTAGAGGATACAGCAAGCTTTCTATATCGACCGAAAACATTAATGACAACAGAGGCGGCGGCTGAACATAGTGGATGCACAAATACAGTACTGAATACCATCATTAACTGAGCAAATTGATGATGCTCTGAGTCAAGGATTTTGCACTTAGTAGCCTCATCAGTTCAGAAACTGACAGAAAGACATGAGTAGGATAAACATGATGAACAAAATAAACGGGGGTCAATTAACGGCATTGCACGATTTATGCGTATGCCGATTCGGAGGATTCGAATGAAGCCTCGGCTGTATCTGATTATTGATAGAGCACGTGAGCAGACAGGCATGTACGAAGTTTTGGCATATCGATGTCTTCGTTTGCCCCTTATATAGGCCCAAAATAGCCTGTACGGCCAATTAATGTTTGTGTGACAGTCATGTAAGGGCAAGAGGGTAGATGGAGAAATAAAACTAATGTGTAGCCGAACACCAGAGGCAGTGAGTCAACCGCTGGCGATCCTGAGGATAGTTCTAACAAAGAAGTCTCGCACATGAAGCTCTTCGGTTAGAATGCGGCGCATTTCCTCGCGATAAGAGTAGCTGGCTGGTAAGATGCGGAAATTACTGCGCTTCTCGTCGTTTTGACCACTATCATCAGCATCATCGTCCCCCGCTTCAGTCTCGCTATGATCTTCGAAATGTTTGCCATTTTGTCCGCTAATCTCTTCTTGAGTTGCGCCATCTGCCATTTGCTGGCAAATGGACGGATCATCAAAAGATGGGGCAATGTCACACTTGGGGGACTTGCCAGCATTTGTCGCTATCCTAATCTTGTCGATCAGCTCAGGCTGGTGGTTCTGCCGCAGACGGAAACGTTTTGGTCTAACGAAAATAGATAAAAAGAGATACTTTTTCAAGGACACCATCGCAATTACTAATGTCTTAAACGA